ACGCCGTGGAGGATTCGGCCAAGGCCGCGAAGGATTCGGCCAAGGTCGCGAAGGCTTCGGGGGTGGAAGACAAGGTCAGGGGTGTGGCAGAACCGCCCGATATAACACACTTTCAGAGGCGCTCGTCTTCCACTAGACACTAAGCACCTCGAAAGTGAGCTACATCGGATAATTCTATCGAGCACACCCCAAGGGAGAACTTGAAACAATCCACATTTACATCCAGAATCCGATAATGAGTACAAGTTTACAATACTTAGTCCATTTCATACAACAAGAGTTCTTAGAAATTATTTATTACAATACCATAGTTCAGAGTGCGATAATGAAACAGCGGAATAAAAACAAATATCTAGCGAAAACGATATAAGGATCCATCTGTGCTCACCAGAAGAATCCTCCACACAAGAGCTACTCCTCAAGCTGCACCTGCAACAGGGGTAAAATAAACCCTGATTACACAATGTACTCGCAAGACTTACCCGACTAGTGGAAATAGTTTCCCTACTTCAAGGCGTATGATAGGCAATATGGGTTTACTGTTCTCTTTTTGTTTGCGAAAAGCTTTACTAAAAGTTCATCCTTACGGTCAAGTTTTATTAGCAGCCATGATTACTTCATTACTAACCATTTTAGATAAGCACCTGTTCTACTTTCAAGTAAAGGTTGAGCCATCAGAACCATTTTTCTATCTTTCATATTCTAGTTCTTACTACGGTGCTAGACCATAGCCAAGTCGTACCGTCTCACGGAAACGGCAATTCGCGAACCAATGTATCCCAACTGGGTATCCCGAAACACATGCCCCGTTTGTACCTCAGGCACAAACAAGACCAACCCATTCCACTCCTGTCACGTGGTCCAGGTCCCCGACCAAACTTGGACTCCAAGCCCCCACACTTGAGACCCAGTCTTAATATGGTGCTTAGACCTCCACATTTTTCCGCCTCCAATCAGTCGGTCTGGAAAGAGTCGGAACCCACGACAAGAGCGTAATGAGCCTTCCCGCTCCCATAAGTAAGTATGTGCTCAGGATAATAAGTCTGTGACTTGACTACCATCCACAGCAACGGACGGTCCTTAATCGACACGAACAGAGAAAACAGTGCAACCATGCTAAGCCCCGTTGGCCATGGAACATAACTTATTACACCCACCAATATCCATACCATATCCCTGTCCTGTCTTCATTTTGTCTTTCATAATTTTATCACGAGAGTAATTATAATGACATGTTGTGAGTAACGACAGGTTACTCGCGCTACCAAAACCTAAGCATAGCAGCTACTCGAACCTGCACTAGTAAGACTCTTAGGACAGATATATTTATACAGGTGGTTTTCATAAAATTCCTATAACGTAAATACACATCACATATGTATATTCAGTGATTATCAAAAATAAGGGTTATACACCGGGGCTTGCCTTGGGCGGGTGGATTGTCAGCTATGTCAGTTGTCAGTGGCTGTGGGGCTTCCTCCTGTATGAGGACCTCCTCCTCATACTCCTCGATCACCTCCTCGTACTCCTGCTCTCCAGAACTCCACCAACTCGTTCTCTACGTACATGCCTTGACTTTTCTATGCATCTCATTGATCCGGGTCTCAACTGCCTAGCTAGTAGCGTTTCATGCACCAGCCAATTCATTAATTCTTCTGTAAATGCGCCCTTGCAGAAGAACAATTCAATATTTTTCTAAGATATATATGCGCGTTAACAGAGATCGACAAAACATATATGCGTGTTATGCTACATCATCTACATTGAATATATGCGTGTTAACTAAAGAAGTACAGACGTTGAATAAAGGCTGTGATATAAGCTGCGTTGGCATCGGCATTGTTTACATGACACGATCACGCGTGCGCCGTTTGATTACCATTTCAGTGATGTGTACGTGTCTTAGGGGAATTCTATCGCGTACGTAATGAAGGATAAAAATCTCATTGCTGTGATGTGTTGAAGTACCCACCGTCCAATGCATCAGTTTGTAAGTGCAGCTTTGCTTCGCAAATCTCACCATATCAAGACTTTGATCCATTGATGCATTATAAAAGAACTACTCCTAAGAACTACCACTTCCCTGCCATTCACTGAACGACAGAGCTCAAACTCAGCAAAAAAACACTACTTTTTGGGAACTTGGGACCACCGCTGCAACGTAAGAAAGGCACCACTCAATCGTAGTATTATCCAACGGATCCTACTACAGATAGGCCTCGTAGGGGCGGCTTAGGGACATTTATAGGGACGGTTTGGCCAGCCGCCCAGCGTGGCTAAAAATCGATTTGTAGGAGCGACTACAAAATTGATCTATAGGGGCGGATGTAGTACCAGCCATCCCTATAATATCTGTTTGTAGGGACGGTTCAGTTTAGAACCATCCCTACAGTACATTTTTTCGCAAAAAAAATAAATAAATTAAATTTACAATTCAAATCGGACCAGAAAACACACACACATATATATATATATATAATTCAAATCTGACCACAAGCACAAGAGTATTATATAAACTACAATTACAAGTCTAATTCATAAGAATATATACAATCAATTATTAAATAGACATAATTCACAAGTCTAATTCGTTTCACTTCTCCCTCCCCTCTCTCTAGCACACGTGCTGCACTTTGGGTGAACGGGCGACAGTGGTATGAGAAACTCTCTCTCTCTCTCTCGGCGGCGCTCCGCGGCGGCGAAGCTCATGTTCTCGCATCGTTCACGGTGAGGAGGTGCGGTTCGGTGATACTGGATGACATCATCGTCGGTGACAGAGGTCCTCGTTCATGGCGGGTCGGTCATTGCTCAATGACCCAGTACCCAGCCGCTTCGTGTGCATGCAGAAGAACCACCATTCACGCTTTGATCCGGCGCAATAACAAATTAAGAACGGACTTCTTTGCCATTCACTGGAGGAGATGAAGGCGATCGAGGAAAACGAGACTTGGGAGCTCGTCGATCCACTTCCAGGATGCCGTCCGATTGGCCTGAAGTGGGTATACAAGGTCAAGCGGGACGAGCGCGGCGCCATTGTCAAGCATAAGACGCGCCTCATCACCCGAGTCTTTGTCCAGCGTGAGGGCATCGACTTCGAGGAAGTCTTTACGTCGGTAGCGCGCATGGAGTCTATCCGATTGCCGCTGGTTTTGGCAGCAGCGAAGGACTGGCGCGTCCATCACCTGTACATAAAATCGGTCTTCCTCAACGGCGAGCTGGCGGAGACGGTCTTCGTCAGGCAACCTCCGGGTTTCGTCGTCATGGAAGCGGAGCACAGGGTGCTCCGATTGCGCAAGGCGCTTTACGGGCTGCGGCAGGCCCCGTGAGCATGGAATGCCAAGCTTGACGCCACGCTAGACGAGCTTGGGTTCACGCGGTGCGCAACCGAGCACGCGCTCTACACGTGGCGACGGGGAAGGAGGAGCTCGTCGTCAGCGTGTATGTGGACGACTTGATCGTCACTGGCGCGCGTGCAGAGGACATCGACAGCTTCAAGCACGAGATGACAGCTCATTTTCGAATGAGCGATCTCGGCGTGCTCTCCTACTACCTTGGCATCGAGGTGAGACAGGGGAAGGAGGCGCTCACGCTCGGTCAGAGCGCGTACGCCTCGAAGCTGTTGGAGCAGAGCGACATGGCTGAATGCAAGCCGTGCATGACTCCGATGGAGGAGCGGCTGGAGCGGACGAAGGCCAGTACCACGGCGAAGGTAGATGCAACACTCTACCGGAGCATCGTCGGCGATCTACGCTACCTAGTTCACACGAGTCCGGACATTGCGTTCGCCGTGGGCTACGTCAGCCGCTTCATGAAGGATCTCCGAGAGGATCACCGGGCCGCGGTGAAGCGGCTGCTGCGCTACGTCAAGGGAACGGTGGATCAGGTGATCGTCTTCCCCAAGACTGGCGGAAGTGGGCTATAGCTCACTGTGTTCAATGATACGGACATGGCGGGGGACATCGACACACGACAGAGCATCTCTGGCGTGCTTGTCTTCCTCGGGTCGGCTCCAATCTCATGGCTGCCGCTGAAACAGAAGGTGGTGGCGCTGTCCACGTGTGAGGCAGAGTACATGGCGGCGGCCACAGCGGCGTACCAAGCTGTGTGGCTACGCCGACTGCTGGGCGAGCTGACCGGTGTGGAAGCTCACCCACCAGCACTGATGGTGGACAACCAGCCCACCATCGCCCTCGCGAAGAATCCGGTTCTCCACGACCGGAGCAAGCACATCGACGTCAAGTTCCACTTTCTCAGGGATTGTGTCGATGGAGGGCAGATCGTCATCGAGTTCATCGAAACTGATCGGCAACTCGCGGACGTCCTCACCAAGCCGCTTGGCCTTCTTCGGTTCACGGAGCTGAAGAAGATGATCGGCATATGGTGGGGGTTCTAGAGTTAGCAGTAGGATTAGGGGAAGAATTGTAAAGTAATCTGTAGCTCTCCCTCTGTACGTGCGGCAGGGGCAGGCGCCGAAAGGGCTCCCCTGCTACTGCACTATAGCCACGGCAGGGGCAGACGCCGAAAGGCTCCCCTGCCGCACTGTAGCCATAGCACGAGCAGGCGCCAAAGTCAGGCCTGCTGTCACATCTAGTCACTGTAGCAGCATGGTAGCCTGACATATCTGTGTACTAAGATTAGATGGGTACAGTTGTATATATAGCTTCCCACTACAACTTAGTGAAGAGAGAGAGTTCAGTTTGCCATATTGAGAAGCAGAGCTTTCGGCCAGCGCTGGACTTATTGTGTGTGTGAGTGAGCTGTTCTCGATATCTTCTTCTACCTCTCGTTTTAGTGAGTAAGTGTGCTGGTAAGCAGACTGAGGCAGCCGAGCGACCAACACAGGTTGCCGGCCGGTTCACATCTAGGGCCGGTAGCTGAGATGAGATGGGTTATTACTCCTAGAGTAGTGCAACAATTAATAACTAGCTAGCTATATTAATTAAACATGCTTGGCGATCAGCGCTAGCAGCGACAAGCTGTGTGCTATGCGTCGTCGTCAGTCACTGCTGCTGCACCCTTGGGCGTGCCGGTGACGGTGATCGCAGTGGCTTCCACTGCCCCAGCCGGACCAAGAACTCCATGACCTGTAAAACCAAGGATCGGAGGAGTCATTTTCAATCGACAGCTTGCTTAGTTTATTCGTCTGCTGACACATTAACTATATATATATATTCATCAGAGTCTTTAACTTAAGAGTGATTTTGTCATGCTGTATGTGTATACTATATAGCTACTAATATACTAGTATACATACCTCAGTGGGGTCCTGGAGAGAGTAGGAGGCATCTGTCTCCCTGGGGCATTTGGAAACAAGGATCCCTATACCTTGACCTCTCTCCCTCAACACCTAATTAAGGCGACAAGGTTTAAGAAAAGGTTTGATGTTTAACAAAACCAAACAGTTGAAATCAACAGACTCGCAACATATATAAAGTGACAGCACGCAAGAGGTTGGCAACATAATGAAAAACTGCAACTTGTAATTAATTTGTCCGTGTGCTGTGTTTACATGTATATATGTCTGATCGTAGCTCATGTATATATGTCTGATCGTAGCTCATGTCTGATCGTAGCTCATGTATATATGCACCTTGAAAGCATCCTCGTCGGTCCGGTCGTCCCCGATGTACACCGGCAGGACGTTGGTGCGGTCGTCGAATCCTAAGAGACAATCGATCAGACATGGAACAGGCAGCGGACAAAACCGTCAGCGATCAGACAAGATTTTTACTCTCTCGCGCACGCATACAGTGACGAGAAGGGCGACAAAGACGGCAGCATGTGGCGGTATGCACTTACCGAGCGACTTAAGCAAGAACTCGACGGCCCTGCCCTTGTCCCACATGATCGACGGCCGGATCTCCAAAACTTTCCTGCCCTCGGTGAGCTTCAACTCGGGGAAGTCCAGGAGCACGGCCTTGACCTTGTCAGCCAATGAGCTCCAGCTCTGCAGGGCAGTTGTTGAAGATGATGCACGAGGAGCAGCCAGGGGCAGCACATGCATTCATGCATGACGATTGCTCATCACCATTTGAATAAGAGGTACTAGCTGACATGCATGCATCAAGCTGCTTCTTGTGTTTGACTTGCAAAACTAAATTACTACTAGCAGCTAGATAGGGAGTCGGGATCCAAGGCCTAGCTAAAGGTATTGTAAGACTCGGTGAAGAACCGGCCGGCAATCACCTTTTCATCGACGCATCTGAAGTGCACGGACAGGCAGAACTTGTTGTTCTCCACCCTGGCCCCCGGCGTGTCCTTAGTCTTCTCCTCCAGAGCCCTGTAAGCCTGGCCATACATGTAATCGGCGCGTGCGTGCGCCGGTAAGTTCCTCATGGCTCAACTAATTACTTGCAACTTAATTTTAACACGGTCCAAAAGCATTGGTACTGTCGTAATGAACTGATGATGATTATATATATAAAAAAGAGTGATGACGTGATGTATACCTTGTCGATCACCGGCAGGAACTCGCGTGCTGGTTGCAGCAGGACTGTGTTGTCCTCCTGGAAATTGTTGGCAGGAAGAGAGAAGTAGCAATGGAGTTAGGCGAATAAAAAGGTTGCCAAAGGATATATCGTTGATGCTGCATGGGCAGTGTATGTCTAGTTCGTTGGTGATGAATGAATAGATAAAAAGATAGGGAGATATGATGAGATGGCCGGCTATACCTTGGAGCTTGGGCCTTTGATGTCCATCCCGTGGCTGCCGGCGTAGTAGAGCTCCGGGAGGCCTACGAAGCTGCAGACCTGAACCGACCGTAACAACAAGAACAAGGAAACGTACACTTGATTATAGCCCAGAGCTCCGGTGAGTCAGTGACGAAGTACATGTAATGAGTTTCTGATCGAGGTGTGTTGAATGCTCGTCGTACCTTTTCGATGCACCGGCCGGTCACGATCGCCGTCGGGAAGTGCTTCGCGATGTTGTGCACCGCCGCCCTCATCTGCGCGCACCCGTTAATTACGCGATATAAGTAAGATGTTGGCAGCACGTACGTACGAGAGGATTTTATGGCGACATCTAGATCAACAAGCACAACAACGGACGGTCACCTCGGGGGTCATGAACGCCATGTCGGGGTCGGTGACGATCGGGGACAGCGTGCCGTCGTAGTCCATGAACATGACGATCCTCTTCCCCTTGGCCGCCGCCGCGATCTGGTCGAAGCTGCCCAGCCCAGACGGGTGCTTCCTCTGCGCAACAAGCAATTTAAACCCCGGCTCGCTCCTCAAAACACGGATCTAACAACCGAACGACGCGACGCACGCAACCAACCGCCGCGAGCGGCCCCGGCCCGGACACAAGAACTCACCGTCCACGCGTCGTACTCGTGGACGGCGGGGCAGCGGGTGGGCGACGACGCGCGGATGGCCTCGACGACCCGGCTGGTGCAGGTCCGACCCGGCGGCGCATTCGCCGCCGCCGCCGCCGCGGGGGCACCCCGGGCGCCTGCTAGGAACTCGCCACCATCGGCGCCGCCGCCGCCAGGGAGACCGAGGCCGCCGTACGCGCCCCGCAGCGACGACACGGCCCCCGCGGCGCCGCGGCACGCGAAGAGGGCGCCGCCGGGGGCCGGCAGGGCCGCAGCCGCCGCAATGCCCATGTCCGGGACCACCACGTCTTGGTTCGTCATGGCTGTGGCGCGCCCGCGGCCGCGCACACGGACGGACGGACAGACACGCGCCTCACCAGCACTTGCGCGCCCGCGAGAGGCCAACACTTGGACACAGGCTGCGGCCCGCGGGGCTAGGTCTCCACTACTGTGAGGGAGGTTGTTTTGCAGGGGAGGTAGCGGGCAGTTTTCTTGGGGTGCGGTGAGTGAGCCGCGGAGTGTCGGTAGTTATATAGAGCGGACTGGCATCTCGGCGGCAGTTGCTGTTGACTAAAGATGGCATTTAATCTATTAGGGAACGGAGATGGGATCATATCTTTACCCGCGGGTATCTAAATGGACAAGAATCCATACCCGATGGTTATAGCGGGTACGGGAACGTTCCATGTTTACCCGTCCCCGTTACCCGTTGGAGAACCCGACTATTTGAGCTGTCATGCGAGTATTAGGCCAAAAGAAGCTTAACATAGGTATTTTGGCCTAAATTTGAACAATCATATATATAGTTTGTGTGTTCTAGAAACCCTAGTTCAATTTTTTCTCACCATCTCCGCCAGCAGCACAAGCACGCCTACCTCATGAGCGCTCGTGCCCCTCGCTTCCTCAGTTCGGTCTCTCTGCCACCTTTGCTCGTCCTCCTCGCAACCTCGCTCCTTTTCCTCGGCATCTCCGAGACTTCGACGCATATACCCGGGTGAAGAAAAAACGTCTCCGATTGCAAAGCTGCGACCCCAAGTGTCCTTGTTTATCGGGTATGCAGTACCTATCGGGTATCTGTTACCCGACCAATGCCCGACGGGTACGGGGATGGACAAGAATCTATACCCGAGATAGTTAACGGGGACGGGAACGGGATGAATTCTTCGTAGCGGGGAAGAGAACGTTCCGGCGATACCCGACGGGTATATCCCCATTGCCATCCTTACTGTTGACACACTTGGGCGGAGGTGGCACGCTTTGCAGCCGTCCGATCGTACCATGCCATCAATAATGTACGTTCTGTTATTTATCCTTAGATACAACAAAAGGTGCAGGTGGATGGACACCTACACCCTATTCGCTTGGTTGTATTTGGCTTATAAGCCATGGCTTATCAACTAACGAATAATATTTTTCTCTCACACCAAACCAGCCAACAATACTTTTAACCATGGCTTATCAACCAAACAAGCCTAAACGAATATGACGATAGTAGATCGTGTTTTTCGAATACCACTGCAGAACACACAATCTATTATTGTCAAAGCAATGGTCCCGTTCGGCTTACCTTAAAAACGGCACTATTCAGCTCGTTTTTTCAGCCGGAACAATATTTTTCTCTCACAACAATTCAGTCAGAACATTATTTTTTAGCCAGTTTCAGCCAAGATTCAGCAAGCCAAACGGGCCAGACGGTTGTGCTAGAACCATTGCCGGGTGATAACCCAAGATCTAGAAAATTGGTGGAAAGACAATCACATAGCAGTGAAGGCACCTACAAGTGCCGAGTAAAACCACCACCCAACTAGCTACGAGCCGGTTCAAACTATGAGCTGGCAGTCGCTACTGCAAAGTAGTAATCAATGGCGGTTCAAACACCCCTATCACTGTGGGAAATTAGAACCGGCAGAAAGAAAGAGACAGTGATAACAAACTTTACTGCCGGTTTCTAACACCAACTAGCAGGGTTGAGTTGAACAACATTGCCTAAACCGGCAGTGTGATATCTGCCAATCCTGAACTGCAACCGGCAGTGCTAATTTGAGCAACGCTACCGGCTCAGTACTCAAGGGCAGTGCTATACCTATAATCACTGCCAGCTTGTGTGGTGGCCCCAAAATGATATAATTTCTCCATATTGTTATTTACTAATTTATTTTATTATTTTTGGGTGGACTGCAACCTAAAGACTAGGTGACTAGTATGCCTCATCTCCAGGAGTTTGTCCTCCCTGCTTGATCCTTTGCCTACCTCATTTGAAGTTTCTGCATTGTGCTTGACTGTGTAAAATTTACCATTCCTAGATAATCATAAGGTATTTGATAAAATTGGCTTTAGGTTGCTCAACTTTTCGTGCGTGGGTGGCTAGGGGGTACTAAAAAAATATAAATACACATCTTACCAGATAGTTTATTGTTTTTTTAGTGTAAATAATCCAGTAGAGCATAGGATAAGTTTTTGGACCCAAGTTACCATCTCATTTTAGATATTGGGCCCTCTAGGCCTATAGTTTCCAATATCAAGTAATTTGTGTTTGTTGGCCTGTACTTGGCTTCTCTTAAACCCTCATCCTCATGAACCTATTCTAGGACCTCCCTTTACTACTGTAGAAAGTATTTGTAGAGGCGGCTGCTCCAACCACCAGTCTCTACAAATCGACTTCTAGGAGTGGCTAGAAATAAGAGCCGCCTCTAGAAACTGAGTTTCTTGAAGCGGATCAAAATACAACCGCCTCTACAAATCGTTTCTAGTAATCATATATCACAGTTTTTCGCACAAAATACGCACATGTGTGGACACAGGGGCTAGAATCCACAACCTCAGGCCTCGCATATACCTTCCCTAACTGATCTATCCAAAAGTCACTTGTGACTATAAGACAAACATTTCCGCCGTATTCACTTATCAGATTTTGAAATAAATATTTAGAATCCTAAATGAATTCAAATGAAAAATAGCTGGATAGGGAAGGTGTAGATATTGTTGAGGACTACGACTTTGGTTTTGGTTGTTTCTCCATCCGAGATGGTTGAAAATTTCAAATTTTAAATGGTAGAAATTCAAACATATTTTTCCTTGAATAAATGATTCTAAATGAAAAAGTTGTCACCTACAAAGATGTATAGTTCTTCGAAATCTACAACTTCGGTTTTTATTGTTTCTCCATCCAAGGTTGATTCAAATTTGAATTTCAAAATGTGAGCACTTCAAACTAAATTTTGGGACTATAGATTATTTCAAATGAAAAAGTTATCAACTGCAACCTTTTAGATCTTTTCGAGATCTATAACTTTAGTTTCGGTCATTTCTCTATTCAGTGTCATTTGGAAAATTTGAAAAAAAATGAATTTTAGAATGTGAGAAATTCAAACAGAATTTGCGAGATTTAAAGGATTTCAAATGAAAAAGTTGTAAACTATGAAGTTATAGATCTCTTCGAAGTATATAATTTTTGTACAAAGTTTGTCTTCATCTGACTGCGTTTAAAAATTTATAATTTTTTAGATGCGCCTATTTTTAGAGACGTTCTAGATCTAGCCACCTCCATAAATCAATTTATAGAGATGGCTGTGGATTCGGTCATCTCTATAAATTAATTTTGCACACGTTTCTAAATCTAGCCGCCTCTAAGATAAGGCCATTTCTAAAAGAATCCCATCAACCTCTAAAAATTGATTTTAGAGACGGGTAACTCGAGAACTATTTTTATAGACGAATTTTGACTAAACTGCCTCTACTAAAAATGTTTGGTTTGCTAAAAATCATTTGCTTAGTAGTGGCATCTATCAGGTACCATTTCCTCAGCAGATGGTATGGACTAATTAAGTGTATCTTGATGATTAGGACCGTTCATTGTCTCATCTCACATGTGCTTGGGGCCATCCCAAAGTCACAAAGTTCCCGAAATGACTGGGTCATGGAATGAGGATCGTGGAATGTGGGACTCTTCTTGAGAAAGGATTTTCCACTGTTGAGACGAAACTGATCCGCGTTCCTGGAATAGGAACGCACATCCCCAAAACACGGAACGTGGCACCGTACACTAGTAGGAATATCCACTTCTATGACGATCAGTTTTCGTCACCGAAAGAAGCCAAATTCGTCATAATTTCAGTTTTATGACAAAAAACGGTTCGTCATAGAAGTCACATCATTCTTGTAGGATAGATCTATGATGAAAACTGATCATCATAAAACTGCTTTGGCATACGTGGCAGGGGCAGCAACACTGGCGGTTGCTTCTGTTGGAGATGCTTTCCACGTGTACCTGCTATAGCCGGTTGCATTAGAGATGGTTCAGATATATGTCACCTTGTTATTGGACAACGTGGCTGTTGACACAAAAATATGACAATGCGTGCAACACACAGCAAACCGAAAAGATCTGCTTGGAGTAAGCCCGGAGATCCGCTTGGCTTCAAACACAGGATCGGTCGGTTTTGAGACCGAAGACGTGCCAGTCAATTTGATCCTGCAATTGACAAGAAGAAAATAGTCAGTAATTTAAGGTGAAACATGCCGGTGTTGCACCAGCCAGTTTCGATATGTGGCTAAACAACCGATTGATATGGCCATCGACTACAGAGTCGATATCCAACAATAGAGCGATAGAAATAAACATTACTGGCTAAATAGAACATGATCGATATAAACGAGCCGATAATATTAATGAGCATGATCGGTAATTTAACAGATAAAAACAATCATGAAATCGACATGAAATCGGCTAATTCATAAGTAAAAATAACGAACATAAACAACATAGGACTGATAAACAGATAAGCATAATAAGCTCAAGTAATCAGCTAAATAGCCGATACAGAGATGATAGAGGCATAACATGTGGACAATCGACTATTTAATATGAACATATTTATAAACTCATCAAACTTAGCCTATTATCTTTAATAGTGGGGTTCGACCAGATCGATGGCAGCTATAATAAAGATAACAGATTAAACCTTTAAAGTAAACAGATCTACTCACATTTAACAGAATCATGAAAACATACTATGAGCGTTAAAGTGCAGGCAATTGGCTATTTAGCCAATGCACGCATAGCAAACAGCTAAGCTCATGTCTGGCCAAAAGCAAATCTACCAACTAGTATACTCTGATCTAAAGTGCTAACAGTGGGAATCGAACGGATCGTTACAGCCATAATAGCGAGCTATAGACCAGATTCTACTAGCTAGTAAACCTACTCAAGATCAGACATGCTTTGGCCGCATACTATGCATGATCAAGATCAAAGTAGAACGATCAATAAAATATAATCCATCGTTTAAAGTAAAAATTATCATAATATAGCAAAATAAACG